GAGGATATTTCCCTAAAAATGTTGAAAGTAATAACAACAACAAATTAAATGTTTAGGCCTACTAATGAAGTTCCCATGCAATCGGCAAAAAGATTATCCAAATGATTAGATTAGCCTATTCAAATAAAAAAACCACACACACTAACTAGGCCTAGTAGGAAAGTTACACTTTCGGTTTTATACACAAAAAATTTAAGAATGGTCAGAGTCAAAAGCTTGTGATCGGTGAAGGCGCAAGTATAATTTTACATTTTGTAATTGTCGATGCCAGAATTTTTTTACAACGCAACACTTGTGCTTTTGTGGCAAGCTGTCCAAACCTTTATACGTTTTCATGACATTAGAATCAAATAGATTTGCATAGGCTAAGGCCAGGGCCACACTCATCTTATCTCGCTAAATTTTTTCCACGGGCGTTACCTGTGGGTTTGAGAGATACATTACGGTATATGGAGCAGGCCACACTAGAGTAAAAACGTGTGTGAACGCGTTTGTCAGTCTCGCTGGTTTTTTTGACATTTACTAACAAACGGAATTGCACGTGTATTCTCTACTAACATTCCACGGGCGTTGCACGTAAAACTAGTCGCGGGGCATTGCGGCTTATGGGAGTGAACACACTCATCTTATCTCGCTGAATTTTTTCCACGGACGTTTCTAGTTTTAACCTGTCTGTTACTGTGCAGTGAGCGTGGAGGGGGGGCAGTGCGTATCACAGACACGGACAATTTTTATTGCCAGTGTGGCATGCTCTATCAGTCTCACTGGTTTGCCAGAAAAACCTATCTCGTAAGACGAGTGAGGCCACGGTCACGTTGCACGTGAAAACGGAAAAAGCAGTCTCGCTGGTTAAAAATTACAAGTGTGGCCCCGGCCTAACTTAAATTTTAAATTGGCCTAAACCTAATTCAAACTATCAGTTTGGGTTGAAATGCTTCTTTCAAGTACCGGTATGACCTAGGCTTATTAAACTATTGAAACATTTTAGAACCAAAATAATTTTTTTTATTTGGTTAAGAAAATAGGCCTACATGGAGATTTATTTGTGTGGCCTAAGTGTAGTCTAGGCTTTAACGCCAAAAATGGCTTAGTCAATAACAAGACTACAAGATCGCGCCACTCATATTATTCATACCCGGCTTAAAATAGCTAGCCTACTTTGTACGGTCACCATTTCAATGAAAAGTATTAAAAAATATTTAAGTATTAAAACGTGTGTAAAATTAAATTGTATCAATTCAGTAGCCTACCTAGTATTATAAAGAGCTAAGCTTACCAGTAATTTAGTCGTGAAAAACGTGTTTGAGTAAGATGGCAAATCATTTTCCTTCAAAACCAAATACGGAAATAAGCTGTAGGCCTAAGTGGAAAAAACCCAACACCTACAGTAGTTGTCATCTTTTAACTTAGCCTAATCCAGATAGTCTCGTAAATAGTAGGCTATGCCTAAACTTCAGTTCATCAAATAGTTCATCAATAGTTTAAAGTTCATCAAACAGCAGTGTTTTGGATTAGATATTGTATAACATCAGTTAGTCAAGTATAATGCTAAAACAGCAACTTTTTATTAGGCTAGCTGGCCTAGCATCACTTTTGAAATGCCGTTGCCCTCACACGGAGGTAGACTAAAGCACTCAACGACCGTTCCCGATCGGGTAAGGTGCTCAGTCCCCGTATGGTGCGTCCATGTGACCCAATCGGGAACGCTCAGCAATGCCTTTTGTATATCTTTGTTTTTGCTCTAGCTTCGGTCAAAAGCGGACCTATACAACGTTAGCGTGTAGTGTGTGACTTGCATTTTTTGTGGTGTAGGTCAGTAGTAAATTTCCTTGTAAAATCCCCATCTGGCAAACTTAAAAATTTAACTGTTTGTCCCGTCTCTTTCCCACCATTTGGCAATACAATTACAATGGGGCCGGCTACGTTCCAAGCAGTGCTGCTATCTGTGGATGTTAAGCAAACTACGTCGACTCTCGTCGTAAAGCAGGACATCTCTGCACGTTATTTGGCTATTCATCAGACCGAAATTGGAAAGCCAATCACACGCGGCAATCGGGTTTGTTAGACGATGCGGGCTGCGCCGCATTGGGGATACACCTGCCGTTTGACAGGCCCAGCAAACGTGTTAATCAATGTTTTCTATGAATAAGTAGACCTAGCAAAGAATAATTAAGTAACTTAGCCTAAGAAAGCATGCAATTATAATTTAACTTATGAAAATCACGCTTGGACATCCAAAGGCAACTCTTCTGGTGGCTGATTCAGTAGGCCTATGCAACCGACAGTAAGAGTAAAGCCATGTTCACACTATGCAACTTGTTTTATAAACTTTTTTTGTAGGCCTACAAGTTGTATGGGCCAAAATATAAAACAAGTTTAGAAAGAGCTTGCTCAAAACTTTCAGTCCCAAGTAACAAGTATCTGTTGTTGTGGGCTGCTGCTTGTGTTGAGATTGCCTGTGGTAGAAGGAAAAGAGAAAAGGGTCGCTAGTGAGTACGTCCTTCACTGCAGGCTAGGATTAAGTACAGTGGCAGTAAAATGTTATAAGATTTTAAAATAAGTTAGATGATACGGTATAGATTTTCTTCCTGGGGAATTGAGGATTGATGGCAGTCTCAAAAACATTCTAAGAATGACAAGTGCAGACTTTGAGTAGGCTACTTGACTTTGCTCAAGTTATAGGAGAAAGAATCGAAAAAAAAACACTTCATTGAGGGACGCAATCCCAGTCAAAGATAGACTTGATGTAACCCTACGTTTTTTGGCTTTTGGCTACCTGTGACTACTACAGAAGTTTGCAGCATTGGCTCCTCTGCCAGACTTGTGGACACCTTTTTGCACTCCAAATTTTTTTTTTTTTTTTAACTTTATTTAATTTACAATCTGTTCAAGTTGAACAATAAGCAAATGATATAAATAGTAATACAAAAATAACTTGAAGAACATGAGCTAGTGATTGACCACCGTCAACACTAGCTTACAAAGAGAATTTTGATAACACTTAGCCGAATCGGAATGGTAGGTCCAATATCGTATGTCGCTTCAGTCTGTAAATGGTGTTGTGATTGTCCAATAAATTAAGTGCAAGATGATTTGAATGATTTTCCAATTTTATAATGTATTTTTCACTAGATTTTGTAATTTCTTCTTTTACTGTTCGAATTTGAAGATCATTGTGAAGTGTTCTGTTGGTAACAAACCAAGGAGCGTTGACAATTTTACGTAATAATTTTGATTGGTAACGTTGAATAATTTCAATGTTTGAGGTACTTGCTGATCCCCAAAGCTGAATACCATAAGTCCAAATTGGTTTTAGAACTGTTTTGTACAGTAACAATTTATTTTGTGTACTGAGTTGTGATTTAGATCCAAGAAGCCAATTAAGTTTAGTTGTTTTTAAATTTAGATGTTGTCTTTTAGTCCATATATTATGTGCCTTCCAATTAAGCTTTGCATCTAAGTGCATGCCCAAGTATTTTATTTCTGTTACTTGAGGGAGGTGAATATTGTTCATGGATACTGGAGGACATGTAGCCTGATTTAACACGTTGACTGCTGAAAACAACGTACAGGCGCTCCCCAGTGGCGGGCGAAGCCCCGGCACGCAACCGAATCAGCGAACGCAATTGGCATTCAAATATTTCAGTCTGACGAATCACAAAAGAGCAGTGGTGACTGTGCTGCGTTACCCCGAGAGTGGATGTAGTTCACTGAAACACCCAAAGGTAGCAGCACTGCATGGATCCGTATCCAGTGTCTTTGTAATGTGGGTTGAAGAGAGAAAATCCCCAAAATCGGGACAAAAGCATTACCAGACAGGATTTTACGGGAAATTTTAGTACCACCCTACAACAAAGTAAAGCTCGCATTCTAAGCCGGCAGGCTGGCTACGATTATAACGTCTCCGTCTGAGGCTAAGCTCACACTGACTCAATATATTTCTGTTGGTCTGGTGCCGACTTTAGTCGGCGCGCGCCACCTGGGAGCATTTTCCTATAAGCTGAAACACATCTGTCTGGTGCCACTCCATTGCAGACGACCCGCTAGCAACCATCGTCACATTAATTTGGAATTCAACTTGATTTGTCATCTGTGCAGAGTCAAGGCCCCCTGAGGATGGCGCACTAGGTTAAATTGAGGATGGCGCACTAGGTTAAATTAAGTTAAGTTAAATATCGAGAAACTTAATGTTTTGCTGTTTTAGAGACGGCCATCGCCAGAAGACCACGATTCTAATTTAGAAGTTTAAGCTAAGAGCCTAGAAGCTAACTTAAATATGAGATAAGGCCACATCAAAAATTGATCTGACAATAACAGAACAAAAACTCAGTTTAAGCCTGGATGGAAATCAAAACTACGGTAGGCTACTTATAAGTTAAAAGAAACCTCCTAGATCCTCGTCCTGGATATTACAGCTGAGCAGACCTTACAGATCACACGACCTTTTTTCAATTTTAAGTTAGGCTAACTTATGATGCATTTAAGTGACTAAATACTTAAGTTAAGTTTAGTCTTTCAAGACTTTTGAGTACCGTACCATAAATTAAGTTAACAGCAGGCTAAGTCGATGTAACTTCCTAAATGCAGGCTAACCAATGTAAATACGTTATGTAGGCTACAGGATAAAAATGCAGGATAAGGAAAACCTGAATTGTAGAGGAAAGACAATTTGAAACCAAATCAATGGCCCAAGTTAGGCCAATGTACTACGTTTAAGTTAACTTAAGTTCAAGCCTACTAAGGTAAGTAAGTAGGCCTAAGTTACTTCACTGTTTTGTTAAGTTTTCTTGCCATCAATTAACTTAAGTAAGCAAACTATTTAAGTATATAGCTTTATACCAAGCACCACACTGGAGATAGATCTGGCTAATTATAGCTTCATTATCGGCAGCCTCAAGAGTCAACTTATCTTAACTTATTAGTTTTGTGACACACGTCAAATAAAGACCTCTGTCCTAATAACAACTGAAAATATTTTTAACCACTTTCAACAAACTCACTGTTTTCTGGCTCCTCACTTTCGCCCTGTTCGTCGTCGGATTCAGTGCCAGAATCGTGATCGTCGTCCTCAACCTGAAATCGAAAGCTTACGTCAAAATTAAAGGGTTTACAGAAAAATTATCGTCAGCCATTTTCATCTGGGGTACTTTCGCAAACGCCAACTTACATCGTAAATGCTACCAGAAAATAACAGAAATTATACGAAAGTAGCAATTTATTGAAAATTAACATACCAAGGTATAATCTCACAGCAATAAAATCATCAAAACTGATCTCATATTGAAATAAATCACACCTAAAAGTGCGATTCCTTTGTTCTACTTTACAGGTTTCGACGCCATCTTGCCTCTAGCTTGGATGGTAGGTCCCTGGTTTTGACCTTCAAGGAAGGTGAATTTATCAATACTCGGCTTCAATTAGATTATTTAGTGAAACTTTACCTTTTGATGTGGGTGTTCTTCATTCAAGGAATGCGTACGAAGTTTGTGAGTTAGAAACTTGAGCATATTTTACCCGAACACGGATCAGTGCCTAGCGGATCACTTTACTCCGATAATCCTAAGGATAAGCTGTATTCTGACGATAATCCGACGGTAAATTAGTTTTACAACACGAAAAAAACATTCATAACTACGATAAGTAAATTTCTAATCTACATAGTATGCGTTGACGAGGTATTCAAGAGCGGACATCTCGCACACAACCGATCGGTACGCCGGTGAACAACAAACTGTTTACCCCCATCCACCTTCCTCGCCTTACTACGAGAGAGTACGAGAGTCAGCTGAAATGGAGTGGATTGAGACGAGTCCAATTCGGTATCGAGATGAGGGGAGGAACCTAGCAGTTGTGCTCTCTTTAATCACAATGAAAAATACTTTTATTACCTTGCAATGAACCAAAAACTGTTATCTAATAATCTTAAATGGCTTAAATACACAGAACTGTAACAGAAATATCGATACCCATTATTTCTTAGTGCGAAACAACACGTACTACGAGACGATCTTATTTTTGTAAACATATGGGGACTCCCCTACGACCCATTGATAATCTTGGACCGGGCACACTGCAGGAGTAAAGGCTGCCGCCATCTGATTGGCTATTGAAATGTTATGTACCGAGGAGTGGGGGGAGGATCCCAGGGCCTTCAACAAGCTCCTTGTGAATGAAAACGATTTCTGGGAATGGATGGAGTTTTCTTGTATGAGCTTCGGAGAGTACAGCCAGAGATGTTTGGTTCTGAAAGCTTATCCTTTCCAATCTTACTTGCTAGCTATTGTTTTGTGGCTTTGTAACGATTCCTCCATTTCTTTGTACTCAGACTAAAAGAAATAATATGTAAATAAAGCAACTCCTGAATCCCCGTTAAAAATGTACAGAGGAATTTATTTGTTCCAACGAAAGTAATTGCCTATATAGCCTAAAACAACCAGAGTTTTCTTTAGCCTTTAAGCCACAATAATTGCTCTTTTAGACTAATAGGCCTACATTGTTGTAATATAATGATGTTAAAACCATATCAATTAAACAGTAAATCAATATCTTCCTCATAAAAAAATAAAAAAAAAAAAAAAAACTGAAGAGGACTACTAACTCTGCAGCTCATGTATATACAAGCTGATTGAATTAAACCACATTAAACTTATTTCGTTTGACATACCTAGGTGTTAAATGTACCTAAATATGTTATTTTATATTTTGCTTAGTATAAGAATGAAATAAAATTGTACTACCAGGGCACCAGGGTACAAAACTCGTGTGTATACCTAAAATAAAACCCCCCTTCCAGCTCAAGGAAATTGGTAGAAAATTCTTCTTAAAATTGTTCATAGTAGATAGGAGAGTGCAAAGAAAAATATAATAAATTTAGTATTTCCTTCAGATAGTTTCCGAAAATTGAAAAAAGAAGAGAAGACTAAGAAAAATCACAGTAATCAGTGGAAAAATGTTACATGTTAGTAATGTGCATTACCATATTTTGGGTCGTTTACCTCATAAAACGCCTTATAATAGCGAAAAAGGCAATTGGTTTTATATACATTTTATATACATATATACATTTTATAGCGAACATATAAAATTTATATGTAGGCTATAGATATAGATTTCGCATAAAAATTCATGTTAACAAAACGTAGCTGAATTTAAATAATTCAATTGTAGTTATTAAGTAAGAACTAAACCCTTACAACATTAAAACTTAAAGCACTAAAAATTTAAAATAAATTACTTCACATTACAAAATATAGGCTACTTCACATGTCAATACACTAACGTATAACAAAGGAATGAAATACTCGTTGAGCCATCTTAACGTGGATTACTAATAAAAATGCTATCTATATCGTCCTTTTATTATTATAATTTATTTATCGTCCTTTTATAATTATTCTAGAACTTTTCAAAAGTTCATTGACACTCAATGGTAGAGGGTTCGCCTTTAATGAAACGTTTTGTGGATTTTGCAACATGGCAAAGTCTCTGTTAGACAAAGGAAACAAAGGATTCACAGTTAGCGTCCTTGTTTTGATATAGTTTTTTTATCGTTAAAGTTGTTTTATTTAAACTTGATATTGAACAAATATTGAATTATTTGTTATATTTTAACATAATTCGATTTAACGGCGAATTACGTAAACCAAGGTTTGTACCTTTAACAATTGCCCACCCCCGCCCTGGAGATTCTTATTATAACTATCTTTATCAGAATTTAACATAATTTTAAAATTATGCACTTTCAGCTTTAAGATATTTTCCATTACTCAATGGCATTCGGGCTCCTAAATGTTTGCTCGATGTTTTTATTGTTTAAGAAAGCGAGATCAGATTCTCTGCGCATGTCTGCGTTCTTTGTGTAAGCCCAATCGATATTTGCGTGCGTGTTCGTGTGTGGGTTTGACCGTGTACAGTGTCTGTGTATGTGTGTGTACACACGCCATGTAACGTTATACCATATTTAATAAATAAATGACAACGTCCAAATGATTCCACTTAACACTAAGCGGTTGCTGAAACGATTCCCCATCAAGGGAATTTACTTAAGCTTAAAATAATGAACCTTTTCAAATTATTCTTTGTAGGATTTTGAAGGTTGATAAAGTGACTTTGATTGAATACAAATACAAATATTGTATGGTTTTAGTGGGGCCAGTGGAGGAGTTCTGTTCTGGTGAATAGAAGGATTTGAACCTGTGTCCCCAGTACAGAAGTCCCGTGCTATAGCCAATAAACCAGCCCTACCTCTATTGGCTTGTATTGGTGTATACACTGTACACAGTACTTAAAACTGTACACCCATCGCAGATAAAACAGGGAACCCTGAATGAATGAATAAATACTTCTCTTCATTCTGCTAAACAGTTTCAATATTCCGTATTAGTCAAATCATTGAGTAGTGGAAGTTCAACAAAATTGTTTCAAACGTTTCTCAACGGATTTCATTACCTCCACACAACAACAAAAAAAGTCTACCAAAATCTGCCTTGGGGAAGTACCTGATATTATCATTAGGGTATTTATTTAAATAAAAGTAATAAGTGCTCTCCTCAGAGTAATCAATTATTACTCTGAGCTAGCACCAACAAAGCTGCGAGATTCAAAGCCAACGGTACCTTCAAGTGTAATTCCCCGACAAATCTATACCACTAGCTAGGCAAGAAAGTTTGATCTGCTAGTTAAATATGTTTGAGTCGTCATAAACACTTTTCTGTTGGTACATTTAAAAAATCACCTAGCTCACGTTTGCGCTAAAATAATATTCTAAAAATTTCATAAACAGTTTGCATATCTAAGGCCTGGTCATTTCCCACGCTTCCATATACAATATTCCGTTAGTCTATAACCAGGCGGGTTCATTTGCGTTAATTTTTAAAACAACTCTTCACGTGTTTCCCTACTTCTCCAAGTAGCACGGCTAGGATTAGTAACAAGAGCAAATAAAGTATTTTGTTATCGAACTATTTGTGGTAAGACCAAGCACCAAGACAACTGTAAGGACCACGATTATCCATCAGCAAAATAAACATATACTAAATACAGGATGTTCATTGATAAAATTGCTCGTACGATTTTCGTGTTTGATACAATTTTTAGTTTGGATACCCCGGACCTAATGTTGGATGGCGATTTTTTTGGGGTGAATATAGGCCCTATCCTATCACTGTAAATTGTTTGTTTCAGGACAAATGTTCATGAAATTTTGCGTAATTTTATTAAAATTTTAAAGTTTCAAAATTACGTCAGAGAGGCCTCATAGCCTCAAACCTAGGTTATCATTGAACCAATACTCTAAACATTGACAAACACTTTGACAAAACTCTTAATGTTAGGTACAGATTTTCCTCGTTTGAATACAGTTATTATATCAACTAGAACAAATTATTAATTTTCTTCTATTATTTAAGTTCTTAAATTACAGAGGAAGGAAAAGGAAACTATAAATAACAGGAAACTACAAAATCAATGAATCTGCCGTGAACTCATCTCTCTGATAGTAGGGTACTGCAATCAAACCATGTGATCCTAAATTCTCATTTTTAACTTAGAAATTATGGAAATTTGTCACCACAGTTTAAGTTTCGCTAATTCCATCACAAAAGACCAATCTAAAAAAAAAAATCTAAAAAAAATAGATTTTGTGTGTGTGTGTTGCTCAATCACGCATAAACTACTGGACGGATTGGGCTGAAATTTGGCATGATGATAGCTCACATTCCCGATTAACATTTAGGCATATTCTTATCTCAAAAATGCTTTCGGGCTCCGCCCAAGTGGCTCTGTAGTTCCCCATGTTAACCTTATGAGTATTATTATTTAAGGGATTTGAAAAATTTAGTCAGCTGTTTCAACTTTGCAAGTTGATTCTATAATATGCATAGCATTAAAAAGTTAAAAGGTTTCCCAACAGGGTGCAGCACTATTATTATTTTGTTTTTGCATATATGACAATAGCTAATTTGAACTGTGATACACAATCGGAACTGTCAAAGTAGGATTGTTTAAGATAGGTTTGAGTTTTTAATTTAATGAATAATTTGTGATATTGTGCGAATGTTTGATAATTTATTTTTTTATATTGTTTAGGTGCAATTGTAGAACATTATGGCAATGGTAGATGTGTTACACTATATCATACCGTAAATTTATGAACCAAATTTTATCAAACTGTGTTCTCCCCCCATTGCAAACGCAAAGCTTGAGTATAACCATAAATAAAACATAATGTTTCATCTATGGTATAACTGCAAATAAGCATTTTATACTTATATGCCAACCCCGTACGAAGGACGGGTGCTCTGCTAGTAGGGCCATAAAACAAATAGGCCTAACGGAGAAAATTTAATTTTCATAAAGGTTTTTTGGTTTTTTTAGTTTTCAAAATGAACAATGTTTTAACAATGAAATGTTTTAACTTAAGAATTTTGTTCTCCGTTATTTGCGCTATGACCCTATACAAATCCATTAAAGTGAAATAAATATTCTACTTTGGTTTATTGTATACATTTTTTATTATTTATCGTAAACTAGCAGAGGACCCGTCCTTCGTCCGGGGTTGATGAATGTTTAAATGGTGCTTTTTGAAATGACATGAAAAAAGAGTATGTACATGTCACATGATTGTAGAGAATATTATATGCCTATTTATAAACCAGCTGTGGAATTGTGAATTGATGTGGTTTGAAAGTTCAGCTTGTTTACATTTGGGTGGCATAGCAAACTGCAAACATTGTGTGTTTTCATGGCAGCCATGGAGACCAATCAATATTTACTTTTAAAAT